TATTTTGTCAACTAATTTTAACCATGGCTGGCAACACCTATAAAACAGTAAAAATGGAAACAATAATTATATTCACTTGCATCACTTGAAAAATATATTGTCGCACTATGTATTTATTGATTTTTCAAAATATGAAGGACAAATATATCATTTTACACAATTTAAATGAAATTTTGGATGGAAACTGTTACCATAGAGCAATGGGTTAAGTAATGGAAAGCCGAGAATAAAAAATGTTGAGAAAAACGTAGGGATGCAAAGTATTATAATGAGTAAAGATCGATGATCTTAAATACAATTAAAATGTGATGTAACTAATATAATCTGTGGTTCGAATATAATTATCCTAAATGAAAATAAAAATTGTACTTTTTTGCATTGAAGAAAAACATATTTGTTCAAATTACTACCATCGATTATGAACAATAATTTATGTCAATTTATCAAATCTAAATTTTTGTATGATGTTTCGTGTATAAAACACATTTTAAATGGTGTAAGAGTTAACGATAACATTTCAATACTCAAATTAATCGAGCATTGAATTACCTATAACCAAACACACTAAAACAATTTACTTAGCCCCCGCTTGGTAGCAAATTGTTACCCTAAAAAATCAATTTTTTGACTGTTATTTTACTATTTCATTCATCATTTTTGACTTCTTCACTTACAGTTGTGACCTACTTTTCTCTCTAAGTTTCTAACGGTCAAAAAATCAATTACCATAATTACTACCGAGCAAGTCCTTAGCATTTTTTTTTATCGTGGTTTTGGTGGAAGAAATTTATAGTTATTATTATTATTATTAATTTCAATATCTTCTATCTTTTGGTTGCTTAAAGTCATTGATTCAGTATAAGATGAATAGTGAAGGCACATCAATTGGCCCACTGCTCCAGCAACCAAAACCAACATTTTTCTCTCCACCGTCTAGGCTTGCATTTTTAGAATATGAAATTTTTTATTAACATAAATTAATTAATTCGTGCACAATATAGACTCATCACAGGCGACGGAGGAGTGGTGGTGGTAGAACAATATAGGTGGGTTGTGGGATAGTCATCCATGGAGGATCTGAAGGCAATTGCAATTCGCGACAGACAACTCATTGAGGATCTTGGTTTTGCAGCTCGTAAGAGTGGAGTGCGTTTCATTGTTCGTAGTTCAAAGTTTACCGGTTAATTTTAATTATCGCACCAAATGATGGTATTGCTGTGTTGATAGAGATGTGGGCAGTTTTTCAC